CTAATCGCTATTTCAGTCTTTCTATCTTTCTAATTACTTCTTTCTCTGTTTTTCTCTCTGTCTCTATTTTCTCTTCACTTAAAAAAGTCACTGATGATGAAGAAATAAATAAACTATATAAACTAATATTTGGTTTCATTTTCTACTGAAGTGACAAGGGGAAAAAAAGGAAGTTACAAATAAAAATGGTTGTGGTAAAAAAAATACAGAAGAAAAAAAAACGTAGTATCTCCTAATTACCTCACCCCGCCTCATGTTGGAGAGCAGCCAATCAGGCTGAAGGGGGCGGGGCTTATGTCGGACGGCTCAGCGGCGACGCAGCGCCACAACAAGAGCGGCTTTTGGGCTTTGTTTTGTGGACGTAACCGAGCTCCGCCGCCTCCTCCAGAAATGTGGACGGATTTAAGGACATTACTACTTTTTCATTTGTTTTTTCTGAGGCTTCCTCTGCTGGAAGGTCAGTGCTGTGGGCTTTTTTACGTGTCCCCGTGTGTGTTTTTCATGCGTAAAAGGCGTTTTTTGTGTGTGTGTGTGTGTAAAATCTGCACGGTGCGGGATGATGATGTGAAGCGCTCCTGGTACTATAGCGCGTGCACCTGATAGCTAGGAGGGGAAACAGACAGAATAGGTGACTTTAATGAATGATTCTTACTCAGAGATCAGGTTTTTGTTTCAGCACTGCTGTGTGTGTTTGTGTGTTCAGGACGCAGAGCTGTGTGTCAGTCATGTGTTTCCCGGCTGTGAGCATCCACAACCTGCAGACTGAACCTTCGCCTACTCCTTTAAAAGACCCGAGTGAAACAGGGGCCTCCTTTTATTTCTATATTATCCTGACAAAGCAGATCTGTGTAGAAACCGGGACAGTGACGCTTGCAGCGCATCATCCAATTAACCCGGGTGAATGCTGCATATCAATTAGGCATTCATTTGCAAATGACAGCTCAAGGAGCGGTTATTGCTCCCATAACCAGACCTGCGCGCTGCTCACCCATCTGGACTCTGATCTCTCGCTGTTGGATGTTGTGTTTTTTTTTTTTCATCTCTCTCCTCCTTTCTTGCAGCCACGGATGAGTGCGAGGATGGACAGTTTCAGTGCAACAACAAAAGGTGTATACCCACCATCTGGAGGTGCGACGACGACGACGACTGCTCAGACAACAGCGACGAGGAGAACTGCCGTAAGTGTTGGAGTGAGAGGGAGAAGTCAGGACAAATGACACGGTTTCAGGTGCTAACACGTTGCCAGAGCTGAGCTGTCATCGTGACTAAACATTTCACAGGATGTTGGAACAAGCAGGGACAAATATCTGAACTATTAAAATGAGATCAAATCACTTCAGCCACCACGGAGACCTTCTTCTCAGTGTTTTATGATGTGCTTCAGTTACTGTTTCCTCTCATATATTATGTATAACAGGATGATTGACTAAACTATAAACAATCCATCAAATTGTTTGATCTATAACCAGCTTTATTGCTTTATTGGACTGGTATATTAGACCACTGTTGGTTAGAGGTGACACGTGTGAGAGGTTGTTTGTCTCTATGTGTCCCTGTGATGGACTGGAGACCTGTCCGGGGTGTCCACTGACTGCTGGAAGTTTGCAGGCACCAAGTCCCAACGGCCCGGAAAAGAAAAAGCGAGTAAAGAAAATAGATGGATGGATTGTTGAAGAGATTGGAGGTACAGTAGAAGATGAACCATAAAGTTATAGACCACTGAAATGGTTTGGACGTGTCCAGAGGAGGGACATGGCGTATATTGGTTTGGCCGTGTCCAGAGGAGGGACATGGGGTATACTGGTTTGGACATGTCCAGAGGAGGGACAGTGGGTATATTGGTTTGGCCGTGTCCAGAGGAGGGACATGGGGTATACTGGTTTGGACATGTCCAGAGGAGGGACGGTGGGTATATTGGTTTGAACGTGTCCAGATGAGGGACAGTGGGTATATTGGTTTGGACGTGTCCAGAGGAGGGACAGTGGGTATACTGGTAGAAGGATGTTAGAGATTCTGCTTCCAGGAAAAAGACCAAGTGGAGACATATGGATGCAGTTAAGGAGGACATGGAGGTAGTTGGGCAGAGGACAGAGTGAGACAGAGGATGTTGACTCATTGAAGAGGAACAGCTGAAAAAAGAAGAAAAAGTTTGTTTTAGAGGTATTTTGTACATTTTATACCAGGGTTCTGTGTAAAATCAATAAAGATCTTACCTGTTGTAGATAGCTTTTGGGACGAGTTCATTTTGGAAAATTAATCGATTATTAAATTAGTCATCGATTATTTTAATAATCGATTAGTTGTCGATTAATCGATTAATCGTGGCAGCCCTAGTTTGTGTGCAGGTGATTTTAGTCCGATTAAAAAACACTCAATATGTGTTTTCTCGAAATTATGGTTGATTGAATGGACCTCTTTTTCTCTCATCTTTAAAAGGAAAATCTGTGCAGGTGAGAGTCAGACAACGTGCTGCATCCTGTCCGGTGTATCTCCCATGCTGTACGGTTGTGTTGTTTTACACACAAACAGGAGAATTCTAGTGTTTCTGACTGGGAGCCATTGGCCTATATTTTGAAAGGAAGCTCACGGTGAAACCAGTGAAGTTGTGCCAGAGCTCCGCGTGCTCGCAGTGCGCAGCGATCTTCTTTTGTGTCTGGGTTAATTGTGGCTCTGGAGGAATTTTCTGCGCCTCCTCTTCAGAACACGCAAGCTAGGCTTTCTTTATTTTTTTTTCCTCCTCGTACCTATATTTGCCTTTGTTCGTTTTTACTTCTGCGTCTCCAAAACTCCCACACACTCAGACCAGTCGTGTTGGAAACAGCCCGGCTCCGGCTCCTATGGACGTCTGGAGGTGTTGCCGTTGGATTCCTGTATCCGTGTCCTCAGGCATGCAAACGAAAGCAGGTCATTTGGAGCGTCTTCGCTCCTACAACATTCATGTTGTCACTGCTTCTCGCGCACAAAACAATGTTTGTTACTTTCTCAGTCTTTACAGTTCGTTTATGAATCAAATAGAAAATTACGAGGTTTTATGTTTTGGCATCAGGAGGAGATTCATATCTGATTTAAGTAAAAGCTTTTTAAAAAAAATTGTTTTAACCTGAGCCGAGTCTAGCCACCGTTCGATGATTGTGACAGGTAATGCTGTGCGTTATATTAGAGACCGGCCTTCACTCTGTGGCCGTTTCCTCTCCATGCGTGGGTAGCAGCTGCCGTGTAGGAAGGCAGACGCAGAGTCTCAGCTCTGAATAATCTGTTTCAGAGTTGGTGTCCTTGCAGGAGATGAGTGTTAATAAGCTAAGGCCATGACTTTTGCTCCTGCGTTCTGTCGAGCTGTTGCAGTTTTATTTTCTGTGCCAGCATTCGTTTTTGTTCAAACTCCAACTAGACGTAGAATTCCCTCGCCTTGCTTGATTTTAAAGTATATCTCCCTGTAGGCGTCACTGAAATGGATTATGCATTTACAAATTCAGTTGGAATGGTTTATGGTTGTGGATTATTCATGTTGTGAAAATATGTTTTATTTTATACTTAAGATGTGTTTTTGATGCACAGGGCCATATTGGCAGAGCTGTTAAATAAATAAGTACACTTTGTGACTGTACTTAAAGAGTAACTTACCCCAAAATTAACTTTTTTTAGCTGATAAACTGTCTAGAATGTGTCTAAAATGTTATATAGTACTGCTTCTGTGCTAATTTTGATGTTTTTGTGCGTATTTGTTCAAATCTTTAATATTTGGTCTCAAAAGGTCTTTTTGCTGCTCAAATGGGTAGAGCAGAGGTACTGCAGGCTAATTTGCATATTGGTTAACGGCTCTCCACGGT